TCCTGGGTTCTCTCCCGAAGGTGGGAGGGGAGCGGGGGCTGGTGGTCAGAGGCAGGGGGGGCTGGCAGCCAGGACTCCTGGGTTCTCTCCCGAAGGTGGGAGGGGAGCGGGGGCTGGTGGTCAGAGGCAGGGGGGGCTGGGAGCCAGGACTCCTGGGTTCTCTGCCAAGCGGCTGGGCCGGGCAGCACTAAGCCATCCCCCATTAGCCGGGGGCTGCAGGGGACCCGTGATTCCTGGTGACGTTTGTGTCAAATTGTCAGTGACACAAAATGAGATAAATGGAGGAGAGAGAAAAAGGCAGCTCCAGCGGGGGGGGGTCAGAAAGACCCCCCAGGGAGTGGGGAGGGGAAATCCTCTGGGCCCCCCACCTAAAGGGAGGGGGGATGCAGCAGGGCTGGGCAGTGGGACCCTCCTCTCGGCAGGAGGGTGAAGGTGAGAGGGAGGCAAAGGGGGGGTGAATTTGTCTCTGGGTGATTTGATTTATTTTTGCTTCTGGAGCTGTTAGTCTGAGTGTCTGTGTGTATCCAGCCCCCATCCGCCCCATGGCCCACCCAGAGCCCCCATCTGCCCCATAGCACCCACAGCCCCATCTGTCCCATGGCCCACCCAGAGCCCCCCAGCCCCCATCTGCCCCATAGCACCCACAGCCCCATCCGCTCCATGGCCCACCCAGAGACTCCATCCTCCCCATCCAGAGCCCCCGAGCCCCCATCTGCCCCATAGCACCCACAGCCCCATGGCTCCATCCCCTCAATCATCCTCCCCACCCCAACCCCATAGCAGCCCCCCACAGCCCCCATCCAGCGCTTTCACGCCCTCCCCCTGTGCATGGACCCTTCATTATCTATCCATCTCTCTAGCCCCACGCCCCCCCCACCTCCCCCCCGGGCTCCCCCATGCATGAAAACAGCCCTGATTTAATTTAGTCGCTACGAAAATCGATTCTGCCATTCGATACAAAATAAGAATCAGGCAGATTAAGGGTCGGAAATTAACTCTGAAAATATTTTTGATGGAGTGCGGCGCAGTCCCGCCGCCAAATGGGCTGCAAAGTGGAACAAATGACGGGCGGCCACTGCCGGCGACAGGCCCTCTCCATCTTCCGATTAGCCGCTAATGGGAAAGGTCCCGCTCCCCAGCCTGGGCGCAGGCATTAATCACAACCCCGGCTTTATGAAGATTTATTTCCCGCTGCCTCCAGCCCGCGCGGAAGATGAAGTCATAACGCTCTGGGGGCTGGGGGGGAGCGGGGGGGGGCTTTAAAAACAAGAGAGAAAAATACAGGGATGTGGCTCGAGGGGCGTCAGCAGGGCTGGGCCAGCAGGGGGCTGCGGGTCGGGAGTGAGGGGCACCAACAGGACTGGGCTAGCAGGGGCTGCGGGTCGGGAGTGAGGGGCACCGGTATTAGTCCCCAAAAGATGACTGCTTTTTATGAAGTGAGGGTGGGATATTTTTTCTTGGAGGGGCTGGGGGGAGACATGGGGCAGGGGGCTGAGTGACACAAAGGGGGAAAATGGGGGGGGCGAGCAGAGGTGGAAAGTTCAGGGTTGAGATCGGCACGGCACGGCCTAGCCGCTTCCCAGCTTCCCGTCTCTGCCACTAATTGACTGGGCTGTTGGCAGAGACACCCAGAGCCGGAGAGAGAACCCAGGAGTACTGGCTCCCAGCCCCCCTGCTCTAACCACCAGCCCCCACTCC